GTGTGTGTGTGTGTGTGTGTGTGTGTGTGTGTGTGTGTGTGTGTGTGTGTGTGTGTGTGTGTGTGTGTGTGTCACAGCTACACACTGATGATGCTGTAATCCTCCCGCCTGCTCAGCACAGCTCGCGCCGGAGGGACTGTGAGGAGCGGAGCGCCATCTGTCAGTAGGTTCTGACGGAACCAGGAGGCGCGTCGCTCTTTACGCGCAGCAGGAGCTCAGATCCTGACCCGGTTCGGATCAGACTGTGGTCTCTGTGTGGATCCTGACTCAGCGGGTCTCACTTTGATCGGGTTTTTGTCAGGATTAAAGCTCGTGAAGCCGCCTCACCGCTGGATTCTTTCGCGCGTAAAAGTCTGTCCGCCGCGCGTCGAGCCGAGCAGACATGGAGAACCTGACTGCTCCTCCGGACCGGAACCAGACTTTAGGACTCTGGACGGACTACAGCCTGCAGTACAAAGTGATCAGCAGTTTGCTGCTGCTGCTGATCTGCGCCGCGGGGATCGTCGGGAACGTGATGGTGATCCTGGTGGTCCTCACCACCAGACACATGAGGACCCCCACCAACTGCTACCTGGTCAGCCTGGCCGCGGCGGACCTCATGGTCCTGACGGCCGCGGGCCTTCCCGCCATCACGGACAGCATCTTCGTCACGTGGGTGTTCGGCCGCGCGGGCTGCCTGAGCATCACCTACCTGCAGTACCTGGGCATCAACGCGTCCTCGTGCTCCATCTCCGCCTTCACCATCGAGAGGTACATCGCCATCTGCCACCCCATCAAGGCCCAGTCCCTCTGCACCCTGTCCCGGGCCAAGAGGATCATCCTGTTCGTCTGGACCTTCACCTCGGTCTACTGCGTCCTGTGGCTCTACCTGTCCGACCTGCAGCAGCTGGTCTACGACAACGTCACGGTCCTGAGCTGCGGGTACCGCGTGTCCCGGAAGTTCTACCTGCCCGTCTACTTCTTCGACTTCGGGGTGTTCTTCGTGGTTCCGCTGCTGCTGTCCGCGGTTCTGTACGGGCTCATCGCCAGGATCCTGATCCTCAACCCGCTGCCCTCCGACCCAAAGGACGGGAGGAAGAACGGAACCGCCAGCTGCAAGAACTCCCGCCACTGCAGCTCCACGGCCACGTCACGCAGACAGGTGAGGCAGAGGACAGAAACCGTTTGATTATTTCTGCTCACATTTAAAAATGTTTTTATTTATTCAGCTGCTCAGTGTTTCAGTCTGACCTTTGACCTGCACAGTCTGACCTTCAGGGTGAAGACTCTAAATGACCTTTGACCCCTCCTCTGAGCTGACTGCTCCTCCTCCTCTCTCCTGGGTTCCTGCAGGTCACCAAGATGCTGGCGGTGGTGGTGGTCCTGTTCGCGGTCCTCTGGATGCCGTACCGGACCCTGGTGGTGGTGAACTCCTTCCTGGACCGGCCCTACCTGGACACCTGGTTCCTGCTGTTCTGCAGGACCTGCATCTACCTGAACAGCGCCGTCAACCCGCTCATCTACAACGCCATGTCGCAGAAGTTCCGCGCCGCCTTCAGGAAGATCTGCGGCTGCCGGGGGAGGGGGTCCGACAAGCCCGCCGCCTGCAGCGTGGCGCTGACCTACAGCGCCGTGAAGGACACGTCCCTGGTGGACACGTCCCTGGTGGACACGTCCCTGGTGGACACGTCCCTGGTGGACAGCACGGACCACTTCACCACCGAGCTGGAGGAGCTGACGGTCACAGACGAGCTGCTGTCCGATCACAAGATGTTTCCGGACCCCTGCAGCTTCAAGAAGGTGAACTTCAGTCATGCCTGATGGGTCCCAGGGTCTCTAATGGACCTGCTGAGGACAGGTCTCAGGGTCTCTAATGGACCTGCTGAGGACAGGTCTCAGGGTCTCTGATGGACCTGCTGAAGACGGGTCGTGTTCCTGAGAACCAGACCTTTTTTATCCTGCAGCTAGAGACAGAAACAGATCCGGACCACCCGTCCATCCAGGACCGGTTCTGAAACACAACACGTCCAGGTCCACACATGAACAACTCCCTGAGAGCGGCCCGGTTTGAGTCAACAGAACCTGGACAGAACCACATTCAGGTGTTGGGTTCTAATAAAAGGTTCTGATGGGTCCATTTCCCACAAAACAACTGATGCTTTTAGCCCCGCCCCCTGGACTGCTTAATGAAAGTTTGTTTTATTTATTATTTATGAAAAGTTCTGAATTATTAAAACAAAAAGACAAACGAATAAACTTTAATAAATAAATAAATGAAATAAAAGCTGAGTTTAATAAAAACCAGGTGAGATTTTCTGTTTTTTAACAGTTTGTCACAGAAAGTTCTGATTGAGTTTATTTCTGTAAATAAAGAGTAAATTACAGCTGTGGTTTACACTTATTAATCTAAACATCTGTAAACATCTGTCAGTTTTACATTGTTTCATGATGATTTGATGTTTTCTGTAGATTTCAGGTGTTTTTTCTGAGTTTTGCTGTTTTCAGGTGAATTTTGTGGATTTAAAGTGATTTTAAAAGTTATTATTTCAAACGTTGGTCTTTGTTCTTATAATAAACTGAATGTTTTTATTTGTATGTTTCCATGGATGAATATGGAGAAATAAGTTGGTATATTTGGTCATTTTATGTCTAATAAAGTGAAATCAAAGTGATTCTCAGCTGATTCTTTGTCGACACAAACAGTCATTCCTGCTCCAAACTAATAAAGCTTTTATTTCTCTCAAAGAAAATCTGCTGAGTCACTGGTTGCTATGGCGATTCCCCCCATTCTCAGAGCAAAGGGGCGGAGTCAAAGTTTGGGCGGGAACAGATGCAGCTCCTCACTGATCCTGTTTCATGTTTTTATGAATTTTTGAGAATATTTGTTTCATGTCAGAGTTAGTCTCTCTCAGATACTCTAATAAATATTTAAAGGAGCCTGTAAATATGACAGAAATATCTAAGTGTGCATGATTAATGATTAATACAAATGTTGAACGTCATAATGATGAGCATTTGATTTGACTACATCAGTATTATTTAGCGGAAATGAATGTGAAATATTTGTGTGAAACATAAATACTTGTATTAAGTTAAATTATTTAAAATAAATGAAGATTTGACTGACAAATTTGAGACGTAACTTAAAACTAAAAAAAAATCACTGGTCACAGGACATCGGACCAACCAGAGTCTCTGCAGGCAGACACAGCGTGGGCTCTTCGGCTACACGCTTTAACCTGTCTTGAAGTTATTTGAATAATTTCATAATGTCTCATAAGCCTCTTTACGTAGAGAAGCCAGACTTGAGCATGAAATATGTTTTTATCATGAGGAACGTGGAGGAAGCCTGTCGTCGTTGCCGACGTTAGCTCGGCTGTTAGCATCAAGCTGCTTTAATGTTCAGGGTTTGAACTGCAAAGTGGTTCACCTCACAGTAGGTGCATTGCTCCATTTCATGTTTGTGTGACTGTATTCGCACGTGGTTGTTACCATTTTAGTTCATTTGAATTTGACTACATGCTAACTATTCAAACTGAAGCAATGCATAAACTCTTCGGGGCCGTGCAAATTTGGCAGCAATATAGCGTGAACATGACCCCCCCCCCCCCMCCAAGTGTTTTTATTGTGCTTATTTAGTTTCAAAACTTATGTTTTCTGCACGCTCTCACTAAATACCGAGCATGTGGACACAATGAGCGCAGAGTAGCACCTCGCTCGGTATTCAGTGAGCATGGTCATGTTAAGTTTTGAAACTAAATAAAGGACTCCTTCAGTATTCTCCAAGTCAAACAGCTGATAAAAGCTAAACAAACAAACTGTGCAGCTCTTTACTCTGAGTTCAAGTTGTGATTTGTTTTCTTACAGATGGACCCTGTTGTTGTGAAGGTGATTATATATCATTCAGGGATGCCAGACATGGTGGAAGAGTTACACAAGACTGTGAAGGACATTTTCCAGATCCATGAGGAATTCATACTTACCATACCGTACCACTTTTATTTATGAAGCATTTTAAACAACACAAGGCCAACCAAAGTGCTGTACAGAAGACAGACACAACAGGACAGTTAAAATACAGTCAGAATACAGTTAAAATATGGAGCATTAATATTTACAGTACTTATGATACACAGTGAGGTTTTGCACCATCTCACTCAGACCCAAAGGCAAGGCAGTAGTAGTCTGACGTAGTGGTAGRTCAGTCCACAGGTTTGGACCTGCTACAGAAAAGGATCTGTCACCTCTCACAGAGTTAGGGACCTTCAGAAGCAGCTTAGATCATCTAAGAGAGCGCTGTGGGACAAGTGGAATACTTCATTACTTAGACTAAGACTTTGGGGATTTTTTTCACAATTTGTTCTACTAGAGCTGTTAAACACAAGTGCTACCATTAGCAACAGCAGAGACTGACAAATGTGACAGATACAGACAACAATGTGAGTGATGCCCCAAGAGTGACTACACAAATGTTGCCTTCACAGTCACTACAGATGGATCTTTGAAAGGATCCGGATCTTGGGGAGCCGTTTCATTTTGAATCACGTCATCACGTAGCCRTWCGTAAAGACGTCATCCCGTCACATGAGTGGAACCATGTGTGTTTCTAAAAGAAACCCCCCTCCCCCTTTCACTGTGAGCTTCTGTACTCCACAACACCGCATGTTTTTCATGAAAAAGCAAAACGGGAGCAATTTAAGTATGAAAAAATAAAGAAATAAAACTACAAATGGCTCGTTACTGCTTGCGATTCGGCTTCTATCAKTSGTTGTAAAGAGCCGTTCAAAAGATCCAGATCATTCGCGAACGTCACATCTCTAACAGTCACCATCAACTACCTCAGCAGATTCCCAGTCTGATAATGCATGATCATCATCATCATCATCATCATCATCATCAGACACCATCTTATTAAGCCCCCATAAGGAACCGTGGCCAAAAGACATGGAAATACCCTGTTTTACAGTTGCAACAGAGGCAGTGCTGAACAATGGGGATGAACAGTATTTAAGACAGAACCATCCTCAACAACACCAAGGTTAGGTCTGAAATAAAGGAAAAGCTGGCAGATTACAGTAATCCAGTCTAGACCTGATAAATGCATGAATCAGTTTTTCTGCATCATTTTTGGACAAAATGTTTCTAATTTTAGTGATATTACACAGGTGGAAGAAGGTGGTCCTGGTAACATTTTTAATGTGGGGGTTAAAAGACATGTCCTGATCAAAAATAACACCAAGGTTCTTTACATTAGAACTGGAACAGACACATAACTCTGACTGACAGGTCCCTCTGACTGACAGGTCCCTCTGACAGGTCCCTCTGACAGACAGGTCCCTCTGACAGACAGGTCCCTCTGACAGACAGGTCCCTCTGACAGACAGGTCCCTCTGACTGACAGGTCCCTCTGACAGACAGGTCCCTCTGACTGACAGGTCCCTCTGACTGACAGGTCCCTCTGACAGACAGGTCCCTCTGACTGACAGGTCCCTCTGACTGACAGGTCCCTCTGACTGACAGGTCCCTCTGACAGACAGGTCCCTCTGACAGACAGGTCCCTCTGACAGGTCCCTCTGACAGACAG